ATCTTTCGTTCGCCTGTGTGGAATGTCTTAGGATTTGACTCCGGACTATTGGCTGCATAGTTCGGTTGACTCTTTATGCTGGCCCTAGTGAAGCTGAAGTTGACATTAGATTTTTTGAAGGGCATGGCCGATCCAGGTTTGTAATCCAATGGGGACACAATAGGTGACATTCCTACGGTTGCATTTGATCATACCTGGATTCCATACTGCCATGCCTTTCCAGCAGTCGCGTGCGAGTACATCAGCATCACTATCATTATACACGTTAGCTGCAGGTGGAAAACACCTCAGCTATTGTGCCTCAATACAAAAGACAAGAAGAAACAATAACAGTAGCACGTCGGCTGAGACCCCAGTAACGGATGGACATCGTTCCGGAGAGCTAACAGCCGGCCACTGTGCAGCAAAAAGAGTTATAATATGCCTAACGAATGAGCTCGAAATTGGAAAGGAGGCTAAACAGGATAGGGATGGACAAAGGAACTCATAACACAAACGTCATTGGGGCCGGATCCTAGCCATATCAGCAAGTGTGTCCAACCAAATGTGTTAATAGTCTTTAAGACCCCAGCAAAGCAGTCGGGATGCACCAACCGACGCCAACTTCGAAGTGAGGGTTTTCATTTCTCTCGACCAAGTCATCGCTTGGCCTCTCCTCCTTTTTTTCCAACCGCGCCCCCGGCACGCAAACAATGCACGTCGCGGGATTCGGTGCGTTGGCATGCGTAACACGTGGCCCGGCCACCGGAGTACCTACTCACCTTCAGTACAATATGGTCTGGAAACACGCAGAGGCGTGGACTCAGACCCGGGGAGAAGAGAGTAGGCTACACGCCTGAACGACTGTCAGGAATACGCTTTAACACATTTCTCCTGCTTATCGTACAAGCAGGTACGATGCTAAGAAAACGGCAATGCTAGCGTACCGTTGGTCATAGTTAAGTGGCAGAACCTTTACTCTGAAAAAGCAGATCGACTAGCCATTCGTGATTAAATCAAGTGGAAAGTTGGTGAAGAATAGAGCGGTGTTGATTTGCTCCATATGTAGTGAAGAAGCGAGGATTTTCGTGGGGCCAAACACAGCCACAACAATATGACGTAATATATCATAACACAAATGAATTTGTGTGGTAAGCCCATCATATCCAGTAGCAGAGACAAGTGTGATAAAAAGGGATAAAAATCATGGGAAAGAAACAGCTCAGGCAATCGAAATGCACCTAGTGAAGCGTAGAAAAATGGATTACTTCAGAATCACTCACAGTGGTAGTTAAACCGTATGCAACAGACTTAACATTCAAGGGTAGATGTCCGCAGTCTACTCGCCAGTCTTGACGGCATGAAACCTGCCGGACCCGATGGACTTCACACGCTTTTCTCGAAGTGCCTATCGGCCATAATCTCGGCTGCCTTGCGGATTAGTTCAACAGATCCCTGTCCGAGGGTACATCGCCGAGCGACTGGAAATGCTCGGTAGTGAAGCTGCTTCCAAATGGCAGTGACCCACCCAATGTGGATAAGTAACGGCCGATTTGTCTCACAACTATTTTGACGAAGGTCCTCGAGAAGATTGTGAAAAAGGGCTTCTCTAGCTGTTAGAGTCGAAAGATCTAACGCCGGCACTGCACGGCTTCATGAAGCGCCGCTCGTACATCAACAACCTGCTGTTGACGCGGCAGGAATGGTTGCAAGCGTTGAACCGGGAGAACTCAGTGGATGTTATCTACATTGATTTCAGTAAAGCTTCCGATAAAGTGAACCACGAGGTCCTGCTCCACAAGGTGAGGATGTGTGGTGTTGGTGGCGCACTGCATTAGTGGATCGGTGACTTCGTCATTGGAAGATGCCGGGTACAGGTGGATGAGCACTTAACGGACTGGTACTCCTCCACTAGCGGTGTACCCCAAGGCACAGTGCTGGGAACAATTTTATTCCTGATCCACATAAACGAAGTGCCTCAGCTTCTTCGGTCGTCTTGTGCACTGTTTGCAGACGACTTGAAGCTTTGGAGGGTTATTGATGCTCCCGACGACTGTGACGTCCTTCAGCAGGACCTAGACCGCCTATCCCGGTGGTCTGCAGAAGCTGACCTACCGGTCAATCCGGCCAAGTCCTCCTTTATGGGCCCGGGGAGCGGTAGTAATGGTCGTGAGTACACACTGCATCCCACCAGTTCTGTAAAGGGTCAAAGCATACTCTCACGCTGTGATCTGAAATCTGCCGACACCACGAACAGACTGTAAGCAAACGGACTACGCCTGCTTTGGGTACTTAGACGCAGCTTTTGCACTTGGTCTGAAAAGATTGCCACTCGTCTATTCTCTTCCATTATGAGACCGGTGGTTGAATACGGCTCACCCGCCTATTGTTCGATCACAATAGGTGAGGTGCAGAGACAGAAATGGGTCCAGCATGTAGCTACCCGGCTCATCCCCAGTTTCCGGGGTTTGTCGTACGAGGACCGATGTAAGAGACTAGGCCTGTATACCCTGTCATATCGTCGCCTTCGCGTTGATCTCATGACGCACCGCATTTTGCACCTGAGCCACTTTCCTATGTTGAGGCCGTTGCTGTGTGTCTGCGCATCAAGCAGCACACGCGGACACCGGTACGAACTAGTGGTACCGGATCTAAAACGCATCGCTTACTCTCTATGCTTCGAACGTCGAGTGGCGAAATATTGGAAGAAGGTGCCGGTGACGCTAGTCGAGGCGAAATCGGCATCGGAATTTAAGAGATTCCTTAACGCCCACTTTGCGGACTACAGATATGGAGAAAGCATCGCACCCGGATAAGATGTAGTGCGGCTGCAATATGCTGCCACCGCGCAGGAATCAGCGGCGTGATTCCGCGCATGAGCCCGATCCACCTACGATGGAGCAACACAGATTTTTATCTTCGCAGTATTCAGTATTCAGGTGGGACTAGAACGATCAGATAAAATCGTGAGTAGTCCTTGCCCAGGACAAGTAAGCCATAGAAGTGAACCGCTCAGTGTGCCAAATGAAAGGCCGCAGGAAACGCTATTAGCTCCGATTGTAGAGATTTGCTCGTCAAATCTAGAATAGACATGGGATGAAGACGAAGAACGATAGGTTATAACGGTTGCCGGTACCAACCGTTACTCTAATCTGAGCCTTTGGTGCAGTATTTTGATTTAAGTGGGGAGCAGCATCAGACTTAGACTGCCTACAGAGTTCCGTGAGAAATATGTTTCCAACTGGCCACACGTAGCCCAATTCGATCGAGAACGATGGTGTGTTTTCCGATCACAGTAACACATGGGCACGATCAAGTAATAGCTGTTCGCTGGTCCGTCATACTAATCGGGAGCAGCCAGATATGAGGAAGGCGGCGGCAGACTGTCGATCAACAGCAAGGTACCCCACACGGCACTCATGATCCGTGTCGATGAAGCTTAATGCCCGCGGTGTGGATGGAAAAGGGGAAGTAAAGCGATAATTTTGTGAAGAGGAATGTAGACTTAATTGAAACTTGGCATCAGTTGATGCCATCTTACTGGCGAGCTGGAATCCCAAGGATGATGAACACGGTTGGTTAGATGCACTTGGTGAATGGTTAAAAGCCGCCGGCCCGTGGCCGGAAGGATCACAAGCCTGTTTTGAAATCCAGAGGTCGTGGATTCGGGCCAGCGTAGGGGATCAGGCGACCTTCGCAGTATCCTTAGCTCAAACGCAACTGGTGGTGGTTGCTTGGCAGCAAAACATCGACCTCAATGGCGTTCGCATTGTTAGTTTCTCAGTCACCCCTGCTGCCTAGCTTCCTCGCCAACCACGAGCACACACTTGATGCATAATATGATACTACGTTTTACATTACGCGTCTGTTACTTGGTATTCTGTAATGTCCAACATCACGCTCCTTTATATATCATCATTTCGCATTGTGGCACAATAGATGTTTCACAATTTTAGCTAATGTGTAATGATGATGGATTGCTTTTTAAGTGGTAGAGAATTAAAGAAACGGGTTATCGACCGGTTTAGGAGCCTCTATAAAGAAGTTGAGAGAATAGTTGTCTGACCGCTGATTTGCTTCACGTGGATGGCTCGGAAAAAAGAGAGTCGATGGGAGTATCACTGTAGATGCAGCAAGTGCGTTTTCCCAACATACTGAAAGCACAGGAAAAGGATGGAACTAAGTGCTGAGACGAAAGAAGTAGGGGGTTTATCGGCAAGCCATAAATACGCTAGTATTCGTATTCAAGTTAAAGGGTGGCTACGGACTCATTGTAGACTGCACCGTAAAGATGCTATCAATAAAGAAAGCGGAGTCGATACAATGCATATCGGATGGAATGAGGTTACCCATCCCATGGCAACTGTAGAGGCAACAGAGACCGACACTTTAAATTCTCGTCATTAGTATTAACGGACAAAACGTTGGAAACCATGTAGAACTGCGGCAAAAGCCCTGTCAGCATAGGTGGACGGCCAACTCTCGCATTTCGGTTTCAAGTCACTCGCAAAAATATGAAAACAAGGAAACAACGGAATAAGTTTAGATAGGATATAACAGAATATGCATCGTTAGTGCTACCATCCGTAACCCATGGCATTACGTTTCAATTAAATTGCCTACCCATTAAGCGCGAGTGATCAATAGACTGCAGTTATTTGATCACTTTGTGCTCCTTGACGCCTGAATGAGACAAACGCCGGATGGATTTCCGTCAGAAAATTTTCGAGCGTAGCTTTAGACACACAGTAAAGGCTGTGGGAGTCGAGTTGCGAAAAGATGCGGACCGTATTTGTGACCACAAAATATGCGTTCACTACATTAGTGGAACCTTGGCTGCTCGAATTCTGTCCTACATTTGTCTTATCGGAATGAACAGGGGCACGCAAAGTGCTCGTCGGCAACTACTGCGTATACCTATCGGTCACTTATACACAGAGATGGGTTAACAGGGACCTGATAGTCATCACAAAAACGAACGCCATCAGAAGAACAAAGCAAGAATATTTCAATGAACTTACTTAAGCTTTTACTATTGTTGGTGGCATCATCCGCACGGTGACGTTTCTAGCAATGCGATAAGAAAGTGACGAGGACACTTACGAAATCTTCTATCATCTCTTTGATAGCTGAGACAGTGAGGATGATAATAAGAGGAACAAGTGTGGTATATCTACCGGTAGGAGACACACCTGGGATTTGCTGAAAAGGAATAGTTGATTATTAAATCCAGTCAGACCTGAAGAAGAGCTATTAGAAGGAAAAATACATTTGCATAACGTCTAAATTGTTCGAAGAGGAATTTCGGGAAAAACGTGAGGATGCTATACTTTGCAGTGCTGAGGACAGGTTAAAAAAACGACAAAAGAAGAACAAACCTGATTTCGTTTTTGCAATAGTTTGTTAACTGCGGGTCATTGATCATCACACGCCTTGAACCACTTTCATTATGGGTATCCAATTTTGCTTTCATCGTTAGAACGCCGACTGGGAGAGGATGATATGACACGAAGGGAATCCCGTCATTTTTCATCACACCATACAACCGCCGAACATGTGAAGAGTGTCTGCGTGAGGAAACAAGATTGTCTAATCAATACAGCCACAAACACAAAAAATTCTAAAAAAATGTTAAGTGAGAAGCGTAAGAATTATGTTACGAATAATCTAAACTTCGATATAAAGGCATAAGCGCCCAAGCAAGAAAAAAAGGTAGCGCCACAGCGGTCCACGGGAGCGTTTGATTGCACTGTAATATGGGTCCGGTCGATGGTTCCAAAGGCTTCTGTGTCCGGGGCGTACGCGGGTCGTATTATACCAACGGGGGCTTGAAGGCAAAGGAAATACCTCGTAGGCGGTTGCGAAACCTCGTAATAAGCGCCGGAGCTGGATGGATGGTGTGCTTGTGTCACATCTCGTGGCTAGCTGGGCGGTACTGTCACAGCTGTCGAGAGAGAAGCGAGCGCAAGGTGACTAGGTGGATGACGTGAAAACGTGCGACGGTTGGCTAATACAGCACCGAAGACAGAATCGGAAAGCAACAAGCAGAGGAAACGACGCTCACAATATAGGCTCCGCTCGACGACAACTTACTTGTTGAATTGTTACTGCCACACTACGACGCGCTACATTACCTCCCCTCTTATGAGGCGCTGTCCTCAGCGCCTACAAAAGCCTTGACCGGTGTCCACCTGTTGACGTACAGACTAATGTGTGCTGTGATAGGTTCGGACGATTCCGCGTTATGGAATGTTAGTGATCGGTGCAACATCTGCAGTCCTGCTTCAGGGACTGGCGTTATGAGCTGGCAGGGTCGCCAAATATGTAATATCAGTACGTGATCTAAAACTGAAGGAAGACCGCCAGCTAGACCTGCAACTGATCCTGTAAGTGAACCTACAACATCGAATACAAGAATACGGCAAAACATACAGCCCAGTGACTTGACGGAAGTACCTCACTGGATCACACCGGATGTAATATCAGCTGAAAGGCTCAGAAGCTTAGCACCCTTGGGAACCAACCGCGTGACGTATCACGATATACTGCGCAATTCCGTCCCAGATTGACCTCTGATGGTTACAGTCGCCTCTGGTGTAGATTCAAGACTAAGGGACAATATGAGAATGCTTGTACCAGCTAATTACAAGAACTCAGGTAAATATGTATTTGCAGTGTGTCGCAGTTTTAACAATGGAAGCCATGTCCAAGCATGAAGCACTTGGTTATAGCACTAAGTTGTGGTGTTTCAGCATATACCATTGCAAAGAGTGGGATTATAGCGGAACGCCAAGTGGGTGAAACTGATGATTACGAAATAGACGGCCACTGGATCTGGTCAGATAATAAATACTGTCAGTGTCTAGTTGTCGAAAAAACATCTATCGACTTAGCCTCCTTGAAACCACACATGCTGGTCATAGCGTCACTCATTGTATCGACTAAAGTCAGTTACTGAAATTCGAATCACCATACAACAGTAAAAGACCAGGTACCTCCTGCAGCTATTGCTAGATTACAAGCCAGCCTACAAGCTCTTACAGGCATACCTGACTAGAGACCTTGTTAATGCAATCGGTCACTGGGCATCCACACTGTCATGTCTACAGCAAGTTGGAAAGAATAAAGTATATGAGGATTATTGGTGAAGCATCTACGTCAATACATGTAAATGATGATCCCAAAGTTAGGTTTGAGACTGTCCGCAGGGTGCCACAAGGTAACATTTTTCTACCAAACATTCCAACTTGGGTTTGTTCTCAATGAGAAGACGCAGGTTGAGGTGACTTAATAGAGATGTTCAAAATCATGAAAGGTCTCAGGCCAACCGATCTGTTTGAACCAGACAGGTTAGACAACTTGCGGGACCATTGCATGAAATTGAAGCATCATAGATTTAGGCTGGAGTTAAGAGCCAGGTTCTTTGCAAACCGGGTTGTGGCCGTTGGGAATTAACCTGCTTCCTCTCTATTAGCATGCGAAACTATGGATGAATTTAAACGTAGCCTAGACAAACATTGGCTGGTCCTGTTTTCCGGATTTCCTTGGGTTTCAGTGACTGTCCCTAATCTCATCATTTCAGTGTTGTTCGTCTTTCACTTGAGTCTGTTTTTTTCACTATTATAGAATCAGGAATATTCTATCAAGCCGCACTGCTGAGGGCTCTTTTTCGCTTATTGACACACGAAACGTGACGCGCGTTAAGCGGAAGCTTATTTCGTCCCTGGATTCTGTTCTGTACTTATGCCCGAAACTCGTGTAATAAATTAGTTGACAGTTGACTAAGAACGGGTCAAGGAGGCCAAGTCGATAGAAGTTCTTTGGATAACTCGGCACTGACAATTTTATCTGACCAGATCCAATGGCCGTCTAGTTCGTAATCATCAGTTTCATCCACTTGGCGTTCTGCTATAATCCCACTCTTTGCAATGGTATATGCTGAAATACCACATAAATTAGTGTTATAACCAAGTGCTTCATGCTTGGACATGGCTTCCATTGTTAAGGCTGTGACATGCTGCAAATACGTTTTCTCGAGTTCTTGTAATTAGCTGGTACAAGCATCCTCATATCGTCCCTTAGTCTTGAATCTACACCAGAGGTGACTATAACCATCAGAGGTCAATCTGGGACAGAATTGCTACGCTTCTGAGCCTTTCAACCGATATTTCATCTGGCGTGGGCGTCGTATCTCCGGAAGGATGTTATTGGTACAGAGAAGGTACAGAAGCTGGCGACTAGAATGACTGAGGGCCAAGGTGATAAGCCGTATGATGAGCGTCTAAAGAGCTTGGGATTGTTTCCCATGGAACGATATATATTGAGAGGAGATCTGATAGAGCTGTTTCGGATCATGAAGAGCCTCAGTGGAATCAAACCTACCGACCTGTTTGAGCCAGCTACATCAGATAACCCGAGAGGTCATCAATTTAAGCACAGGCATCGAAGGTCTCGGCTAGATATCAGGGGACAATACTTCGCGAACCATGTTGTTGGCAGCTAGAACAAGCTTCCCCTTCGTTGATGAACTTTACAACGGTTGACGCCTTTAAGAGAGGTCCAGACAGATGTTGGTTAGAACATTTTCCAGAAATATTGCAAACTTATTGATGCTCGTTGCAAAGAACTCATGAAGGATGAACGTAGAAGATTGCTTCTTTTTGCTTTGTTTTCTCTGCAGAAGCAATAAGTGCAGTTGGAGGTCGAAAAACCGAGGGCGCTTGGTTGCTTGCCGGTGCAAGAAGCAGGACGCTCGTTAGGCGGAAGCCGATACCGTTCTGGGAAACTGACCTGACCTGAACCGTTTCTGAGGCTGTAGCACAACACAAAGGGATCGCAAAAGGACAGTACAAGGTACCATGTTCATTAGATCATTGGATGATAGAGCAGAAGGAAATTCCCTTGTCAGCTCCGTTAATTCCCACTCGTTTCGGAGATAGCCTGGGCCATTGCGGAACAAGGTCCCACAGAGAACCACTGAAGCTGCATTGGAAACAGCTGGATCCCCGTAACCTAAAATGAGAATCCAATAAATGCTTGAAACGTTCCTCGGTCTCGGCAACGACGATGGACTCCGGAAGGCGGTTCCAGTCATTTACAACGCGAGTGGATAAAGCCAGGCGGGATCGCACTTGATCACTCCTCGGTTTGAACAGTTTCAAACTGTAGCCTCTTGTTGAACTCTCTGTGCTGAGATGAAAGAATTTCTGTAATTCCCTCCAAACTCTCCTCTAAGAATACGTCGGGTGAAGATCAAGTTTCCGCGATGACGACGGTAATCCAGGGAAAAGAGGTTCAGTTGTTTGAGTCGGAGAGAATAGAACAGGTCCCGAAGCTCAGCAACAGATTTGGATCCACGCCGTTGAACCTTTTCAATCATATCACATTCAAAGTTCGTGAGAGAGTAGGCGGCAGGTAGCCCGTATTCCAGAAGTGGGCGTACATGTGAAGTAAACAGGAGTCAGAAGATCCCCGGGGTCAGGCGAGAGAAGGCTCTGCGTATAGAGTGAAACATCCTGTAAGCCGCAGCGACCTTTTTCTTGGTATCTTCATTAGATTTGAGGTCAGACGAAAGTATCACTCCCAAATCCCTCTCCTGAGTTGGGTTTCTGAGCAAGGAACCACCAATATGGTAGATTCCAAATGGGGCAGACGCATCAACTGGAAGAACTGAACACTTCTCATGATTCATTGGCAACTGCCACTTAATTGACCAATCATGTAGCAGGTCGAGTGTCGATTGCAACCTGTAAGCATCTTCAATACTGGATACTTACATCCACAGCTTCAGGTCGTCGGCATAGATTAGGCACTCCGCCTAGAGTGTGGACGATAAGCCATTGAAGACGTTAAAAAGCACGGGGCCGAGGACAGAACCCTGTGGGACTCCACTAGTTATGAGAACAGGGGCGGAAAATGTTTTGTTTACTTGAACCTTCATCGTGCGGTCGCGAAAAAAATCAGAGATCCAGAAGAGAAAATTGCCGGTAATACCGATTCCTCGGAGTTTAAGCAAAAGTCGTTCGTGCGGGACCCTGTCGAAAGCCTTTGCTTAAAATCCACAAACACAACAATCCAAGCGTTTGTTGGAATCTAGCGATTTCGCCCATTTCTCCTCAGCAACTAGTAAGTTCGAGGTACATGAGCGTGCCCTCGAAAACCATGCTGTGCACAAGAGAAGAGATTCAGTTCCTCGAGGTAGAGATGAAGAGCCTGCTTCAAGATCCGCCCCATAACTTTACACAATATCGACGTTAAGCAGATAGGACGATAGTTGGCTGGATCTTGCCTGTTCCCTCCTTTTGTATATGGGTTTTACAATGCCCACTTTCCAAGCCGACGGGAGACGCCCAGCTTCAAAGGAAAGACGGAAAACCTGACAGATAGGAGGGGCGATTGTACTGCGCCACAGTCCTAAGGAACAGGGGGTGCAAGCCATCAACCTAAGTGTACAATTATAGAATTTTGGTTAGAATTTTACACAAGCAAACCGGGGAATCTCCAGACTGCTACAAACCGCTGTGACATCATGCTGGTCCTGAGGGATAGAGTCTATCATGCCGCCCCGCGTTAGAATCGCACTCGCCGGATACGAAATCTGGCCAATCGGATAAACAAAAACAAAGGTTAGTTACGTCCAACAACCAATGTATTTGTAGTGAACTTCCTCTCTGATGGAGACAACGCGTGAGCGAAATTCGCGTGTTCACCGCCGTTCGTATGGCGTAAGAAGGAAAAATGAAATATTCAGCACGTTTATCAAAAGCATAGTGTGTGCCGATGGCATGGTCCTGTGTTAGGCATGCTAGCAAACCGACTACAGCGACGCGAATAATTAATATGATCTTGGTCGGGATATATATATATATATGTATATTACTTATGGCCAGCTTATATGAGTAGTCCGTTAGCTCTATTGCATATGGCAGCATAGCTGTGGCATCTTAATTGGAGCCGGCAACATCTATTAGTTACTACTGGTCAGCTTATGTGAGTAGTCAGGTAGCTGTGTTGCATAGGGTGCCCCATGCTGAGGCTAATGTTGCATTCTTGATGGTACTTCACCGCAGTTGGTCTAAACCAACTTACACTTAAACTAGGTCTTTTTAAGCTGGGCAAATTTCATTCCACTTCATTTATTTAGTCCTGCCTACCTGAATAATCTTCTATTAACTGGCCACGTTCCTTACGCTAATTGCGCTTATCTTCGCTAACTTTGTTGCGTTTGTAGCCGTTTTAAGTAACTTGTGGATATCTTTTACTTATCGCGGATTCGTTGTCAACCAACTTACCTCATATTCTAATATAGCGAAGAGTGGTGTCACCGTATCTCTATGCATTATTGGATTTATTTGATTTCGTCTTGTCGTTTCAAGTGATTGGCCGTTGTTTGATACCCCCGTTGTGTCTGCGCTTGTTGTGCAGGTTGACAAGGTGCCTACCTGTCTATTGCCCACTACCTCGTCCATACTGGCTCCAGGAGACAGTTGGTCGTTGCTGGAGGGGACGGGGTGCACGGTCCTTGTGGCCGTGCTAGGCTCGAAGAGTGGTTCCATGCACTCAGTGTGGAGCGGACCACGGTCCAGTCACCGCCTTGTCTGCGCTTGATTCCCTAAATAGAGCGTGCTTGTGTTTGTCTGTGAAGGAGTGTGGGCCGGCTCCGTTGATGGAATTTGGCTCCCATCCGCATGCCTCCCAGTCTTATTCCTTCGAGTTTACACTGGCTATGGGGTGTGTGGTTGGAGCTGTGGGTGGTGCAGCGCAAGCCACCCATGGTCCGTCTGTAGGCGCAGGCGTCCTGTGGCTGGCCACAGTGACAGGCAAATCCGAAACCGGATGCTATCAACAATATATGGCCATTCTTCAAATCTGGTCTCGATTGGTGTTCCTTGACGCTCAGCTCGGGGTTTCAAATCAGTGGGAATGTTTGATTGGATATACTTATTGACATTCCTGAGCGGTAAGGTCAGCGACGTTTGAGCTGTTGATGTGTTCTCATTTCCCACCGGCTTAGACTCCCCTGCAATCATGGTCCTTTACACAACACGAATTTTTCTTCTCCTATAGAGCATTCGATCGCTTACACCATGTAATTCTTCTTCACAAAGTTCAAAGCTTTGGAATCAGTGATCCTGTGCTAGGTTGGATAAGCAAGCACCTCATTCAACCTCAGCTGAATTTGAGAGTTTGCTAGTCCGTCTCCGACCCAATTGAAGTTCATTGTGATGTGCCCCAAGGATCGGTACTGGAACCACGTTTACTCACAGTATCCATCAACGATATTGCAAGTCAGCTCCAGTCTGACTTCCTACTGTTCGCTGAAGATGATAAGGTCTGGCATAACATCAATACAGTGGACGACTATGCAAGATAACAAAGAGACCTCGACAGGACCTATACATAATCATCCGAAAACCGGCTCGAGTCTAACTTAACCAAATGCAAAGCTCTGAGCATACGCCATCAGAGTTCACGCAAAAATCGACTGGAAATGCAGCTGCTGCAACATGCTACGCAGGAAAGTGACCTCGGAGTAATCGTTCAGAACGCGCTTGGCTGTTCGAAACTTGCTGACAAGGTATCGAGAAGAGTTGGTAAGCACTTCGTTTTCACACGGAGGGCACCCGGATAGTTCCAGCCATCAATCTTTCCACAACTGCTGAACGCATACGTGAGACTGCAGTTGGAGTACGTGATACAGGTCCGGCGAACTTGGCGCAAACACGATGTTGCTGCGCTCGACGCTTCGAAAATTACGGCAACGAAAGTGGTTATAGGAGTGCTTCACCTCTCATACAAACGCAGATTACAAGAGATAGGCCTGTACAGCGGCGAATACCGGACCCTGCGAGGAGACCTGATCATGGTGTGTCAAACAGTGACTGACCAGAATTTTATCAATTTAATCAATCATTTTGTAATCCCTGCTCTGCTCATTCCACGGGACTTGTCAAAGTAACCGCTATCTTGCCCGCGAAATATCATTGTTAATCTGAGTAATTTGTAATGCGAAAAAAGGGTTGAAGTGATTCCTGCTCCTAAATAAAGCGTAGCGTGAGGATGATGTGCTTACTTTCATGTGAACTTCTCCCATTTGCGTTGAAGCAATTTTTATATCAGCCCATCTATGGAGCCATATGGAGCAAACGCACTAACATGGAAGAACTTGGCTAAACAAAAGATAAGCGATCAGCGACGGAAACAATCATTTCCGTCAAGTCAAGTTGATGTTTTCGATGTTACTATTCCTCATGCCGAGTGCTGTCGCAATGGCTCATATCTGAACATGTTGGCTTGTAGTAGATGGTGTCCGATTGTTTTCCAGAAAATCGACTGAAATCCCTTCAAGTCAGACTGAGAATACACATCAAAATGGTAGTGAACTACCGTTTCATCTACAGACTAGTAAAAATGACGTCTACTCGGAATACTGTATACGAAGAATAGAGAAGAAGATAAAAATCAATGTTGCTCCATCGTAAGTGGATCGGGCACATGCGCCGAATCATGTCGCTGATTCCTGCTGGGTGGCAGCATATATTGCAGCTGCACTACATCTTATCCGGGTGCGATACGCTCCCTATACCTATAATTCGCAAGGTGGACTCCAAGGAATCTCTTAGATTCCGACACCGATTTCGCCTCGACTAGCGTCTCCGGCAACTTGTTCCAATATTTCGCCACTCGACGTCAGAAGCATAGATAGTGAGCGATGCGCTTTAAATTCGGTACCACTAGTTTGTACCGGTGTCCGTGTGTGCTACTCGGTGTGTGAACGTGCAGCAGCGGCCTCAACATAGGGAAATGGTCCAGGTTCAATATCCAGTACGTCATTATGAGATCAACTCTAAGGCGACGATATGACAAGGTATACAGCCCTAGTCTCCTACGTCGGTCCTCGTAAGACATACCCCGTAAACTGGGGATGAGCCGGGTAGCTACATACTGGAACCGTTCTAGTCTTTGCACCTCACCTATTGTAATCGGACGATAGGCGTCGAATCATACGCAAGTGAACACTTATTTTCTTCTTAAAAGCAGAAACTTAAGCCACTAATTTTCGAGCGACGTCGGTGGTCCGTCATTACTGGTCATTTGGTACTATGTAGCATGTATATCTAGTGCTGCCACAGAGAAAAGATTTTCCTAGCTAAGCATTTAGTGGCTGACATCCCGAGTTGGTGATTTTAAATGTAACCATTGGTTAAGACCCAAAACAACTTACTTCTTCCGTCACTTTTGTATTCAGGTAGAGGGACCATATCCGAGCACGATAACCCATAGGGCAGCCACGTTGAAGATAGTTTCGAGCCATTGTTGACGAACTCGATCGGAGAACAAAAGAGGGCAGGTATGGGCAACGTTACAGACAATGAAACCCTCTTACCTTCTTCCGCTTCCAATTCGCGGCTTTCCCTAAACGATGCCGACAGTACATCATCTATCCCACACTGAGGCCTCTCAATGCTTAGGGAGTGATAATACTCGCCCTAAAGTGTTATGTCAGCATTAAGCACGCGCACCAGATCATAAATATCTTTCACTTTCATTGGAAGATTAAAAAGTCCCCAATATGGCAGAGTATCCGAATCTTGGCTAATAGCAGTCAATCAAAATGTACATAATAGCTCACTAGGGAATGGACAATTTTGCTGGCTGCTTTATGTTGGGGTGCTCAATACAAATCAATACTTCGAGTAGATCTTTTGGACCAAAAACTGGCTTAATCACGAGTGGCTCTGCCAAGAAAGCGTCTGAATATAACATAGAATACTATTGAAAACTGATGTGAGCTCTTTCCAGTGCTGCAGAATTGACTCTTTCTGTTCACTGTTTCTCTGTTACTTGTGATAACAATAAATATCGCTTCCAACCGTTCCACACAACCGTATATCCAATTCCTGACACATAGTGTGTAAACTGCGAAGCATCTTGCGCTCCCAACTGATCTGAGAACCGAATACGATTTGAAGAGATTCAGTTACCTGCGCCTTCTCCAGATACGCACATTCTTCAGAGATGGACGGTTCAACCCACAGCCATTGTTGGCCGCTATGTTTAGTGGTGACCTCTGGTTCTTCCGAGGGTAGGCTTTCATTAGGCTTGGAATCGTTCCTGCTCGACAGTTGGCAAGGCGAATGATCTTGCACGTCTCCTGTGAATCGCTTCATCCGTTGTTCTAAAGGCTGCCAAAAATAAACAGAAATACTGAGGAATACATCGGGTTACGTGCACGTCGTGTGTTTTGGAAGCGCGGCGTCGATGACACATACTTCCCTAAGGAGCGCTTACTTCCTGAGCGTGTAGTTCTGGACCTGTGGAACAACTGACGGAACAATATGTCTCCCCTACACATCCATAAAAGTGCGTTCAACTTTGTGTTTGCAAACACAGACTTTGGAAGCCATTTTCCCTTTTTGGAAATAAGCACAAGTAGTGGAGCACCCAAACTTATAATTCAACCTATGTGGTTATGGTGAGATGTATTCAACTCGAATATCAGTTCCAAAGTCTTGGTTGTTTCCGTGAGGTGATGCCATCAGCGCATATGTAAGAGCAAGTGCAAACTTGTTTGTAAATTTAGCAAACATCCTAAGTAAACAAGGAGTAAAAATGATCGATCTAAGAAATTATATGAACATTTCCGGCACAATTAGACCTGTACCGCGATACGCCTCATGAAAAGTAGTCCTGAAACAAACTGCTGCCCGCTACTTTAAAGTTGCTTCCAGCAAAAATTTGCAAAGTATGCTTAGCTTGGCGTCCGGGGTTATAAAAGCAAATCCTAAAACCAGCAAGGTTTTAGGTCGCCCCATTGCGTGAACATGATGTGACAAACGTCAAAGCAGGATAAGCTACTAGAACCAGAGGTCCAGGAAAAAAGTTCACATTGTGATTAGATTGGATGCCATTATAAATGCCAATTTTTGAGCTGCATATATCCGACGAGAGCTGTTGGCTCAAATTGCAAACTTTGTTCGCTCCCAGCTGACCGTTCATCTTGTAAATGACTGAACATTCCAACTTCTTTTCAAATTAAGAAGTTTGGTCGGCCAACGTAATATCCATGATATTGCAGGAAAGTGGTCAATGCCAATACAGCAGACTTAGTTTCTTCTTATCCTACTAGCTGCGGCCAATTGAGCACTGAGAAGTCAGTAAGTGCAGTGTCTTTCTGAGCAGTAAAGAGTGCGTCTGGTAGCACAGCACCGAACACGCTTTAGGGAGATTGTTTTAGTCAATAAAAAAACGATGCAGAGGGGTAGTCAAGCTTTGTGCTACTGACTGCGCTCTGACAGGTGTAATATATATGAAACTCATTGTCTTTTTTCGCTGGCATGAACCATACGGAGAAATTAAGCTCAAGCTACAAAGCAACATGCGAGCTCCGAATGGACTGAATTTAGGGCTACTAAATGTTGATTCGAGTTAGCAGTAATCCCAATGGAAATTATGGCGTTTGGCAATTATGCACTGCAATTTCGAGCCCACATTTTCATCAAATATCGAGCATAAAGCACTGACAGCAAACGATGGCTGCATATAGCTTCTTGTAACCCCGTAAGTGATCCAACGGAATGTATTCCAGGAAGTGTATGTAGGAAAAGATTCACAATAATTTGGAATATTGGCAGCTTGGGAGGCTTGCTCAGTTGTTGTGGAGTTCTCCGAGCTGGACAACTTGATTGCAAACGTTTCGCCACCATTAGAGGTGGCATCTTCAGTGGAGGATTGCTAGCAGTTAAGTAGCCGTAGCTGGTAGAAAGCAAACCCAATAATGGATACTGTCAGCAACCACTCCGTTCCTTATATAGGCATGGTTGGCGGCATCCGGTTTCGGATTTGCCTGGCACTGTGGCCAGCCACAGGACGCCTGCGCCTACAGAGGGACCATGGATGGCTTGCGCTGCACCACCCACAGCTCCAACCACACACCCCATAGCCAGTGTAAACTCGAAGGAATAAGACTGGGAGGCATGCGGATGGAAGCCACGTTTCATCAACGGAGCCGGCCCACACTCCTTCACAGACAAACACAAGCACGCTCTATTTAGGGAATCAAGCGCACACAAGGCGGTGGCTGGACCGTAGTCCGCTCCACACTGAGTGCATGGAACCACTCTTCGAGCCTAGCACGGCCACAAGGACCGTGCACCCCGTCCCCTCCAGCAACGACCAACTGTCTCCTGGAGCTAGTATGGACGAGGTAGTGGGTAATAGACAGGTAGGCACCTTGTCAACATGCACATCAAGCGCAGCCACACCGGGGATATCAAGCAACAGCCAATCACCTGGAACGACAAGATGAAATAAAACAAATCCAATAATGCATACAGATACGGTGGCATAACTCTAAGTTAAATAAGCATATGAAGTAAGTTGGTTAGCAACGAATCCGCGATAAGGAAAAAATGTCCACCAGTTAGTTAAAAATGCTACAAAACGCAACAAAGTTACCGAAGATAAGCGTAATTTATGTAAGCAACGTGGCCAGTTAATAGAAGAGTATTCAGGTAGGCAGAACAAACCAACTAAAGTGGAATTAAATTTAGCCAGCTTAAAAAGACCTAGTTTAAGTGTAAGTTGGCTTAGCCCAACTACGGTGAAGAAGCATCAAGAATGCAACATCAGCCTCAGCATGGGGCACACATACATACATGGTTGGCGGCATCCGGTTTCGGATTTGCCTGTCACTGTGGCCAGCCACAGGACGCCTGCGCCTACAGAGGGACCATGGATGGCTTGCGCTGCACCACCCACAGCTCCAACCACACCCCATATCCAGTGTAAACCCGAAGGAATAAGACTGGGAGGCATGTGGATGGAAGCCACGTTTCATCAACGGAGCCGGCCCACACTCCTTCACAAGCAAACGCAAGCACAATGTATTTTGTGGAATTAAGCGCAGACAAGGCGGTGACTGGACCGTAGTCCGCTCCACACTGAGTGCATGGAACCACTCTTCGAGCCTAGCACGGCCACAAGGACCGTGCACCCCGTCCCCTCCAGCAACGACCAACTGTCTCCTGGAGCTAGTATGGACGAGGTAGTGGGTAATAGACAGGTAGGCACCTTGTCAACATGCACATCAAGCGCAGCCACATCGGGGATATCAAGCAACAGCCAATCACTTGAAACGACAAAATGAAATGAAATGAATCCAATAATGTATACAGATATGGTGGCATAACTCTTCGCTAAATTAGCATATGAAGTAATTTGGTTAGCAATGAATCCGCGATAAGGAAAAAGAATATCCACAAGTTACTCATAAAATGCTACAAACGCAGCAAAATTACCGAAGATAAGCGCAATTAGCGTAAACAACTTGGCCAGCTAATAGAAGACTATTCAGATAGGCAAAACAAACCAAAGAAACTGGAATGAAATTTATACAGCTTAAAGAGACCTAGTTTAAGTGTAAGTTGGTTTAGCCCAACTGCGGTGAAGAAGCATCAAGAATGCAACATCAGCCTCAGCATGGGGCATATGGGGCTATTAATATGCCTCATTCTCATTGGTAAATCATTGTGTTCAGCGGTCGTTCTCGAGTCACCACCTCGAATGGTGGCGAAACGTTTGCAATCAAGTTGCCTAGCTCGGAGAACTCCACAACAACTGAGAAAGATTGATAAACTCGACTTTGCAATTAACCTGTTTTTCTAAGTATGAATGATGCGTGGTTCGTGTTTCTTCTTGACAAACTGTGAAGCTAATATTCATTCATTTCATTGAGCATGTGATCATAACACTTGCGAAGGAAACCTTGGCTACCGTTACACGTTTGAAGAATACTATGCTATATTGGAATTCTGTCCAATAGCTTGGATCCCAAAAGTCACTTTAAATCTTCGACCTAAAACATAGTGGTTCGCCAACCTTTGATTCCGGAGGGCTACTTTGGTGGCCACAAAGACTTGACTATGTTACGCTGTCTTGCGGGTGCATGCGAGTCAAGTTCTTGCAAGTCCCAAAGAGGAAAAATGAGCGGGAACCTTCCGACAAACAATTATTTTCGTTTAATTCGTCACCCGATCGTTAAAATAATAGACGCTATGTTAGAAATGGCTAGATTACCATACAACAGATCAATAGATTAAACAGTTTAAAGTGCTTTCCCGACATTGGTCAGTTGCTGACGTCACAGATATCGTGTGAATGTTACCATGCGATCCCCACTCTTCGTTTGTGCTTGGCCAAGGCTATTTTAGTGATAGAACCAGCTGCTTTAGGATACATAATTTTGGATTCATCAGTCTTATGTATAACGCCTCGCGGTAGCAAGCAGACGATTACATATTCGGTGGTTCTGTGTTGTGGTACTTGTGGTATACGATGTCAAAAGCGTTTGTTTGGCAGCTTGGTGTCCGGTGTCCATCATGTGATTTGTTATTGAAATGAAACTGGTTCCGTTTGCCTGATTGGCGAGCCACTTCGGGAGAAGTTGTTTGATTCTCTTATCCAAATGTCCGGACATCCTTCCAATATACCTAGACCCGAAAGGGACAGCTAAAATGATTAATTTTCATTTATTGGAGACAGTTAGGCAGTTGGTCTTTGAATCTCGGAACAAATAAAGGTTGGCTCGGATAAATCACATTTAGATCAGCTGCATTAAACGTCTTTCTGCAGATTTGTATCAGCCTGCCTTAACTGATCTCTGCGGCATTGTCGCCTCCAAAAGGAAGGTAGAAAAATAGTTGTTACTTTTTGAACGTTTGTTTCTTTAGTTTGGTACTATTATGCTTCAGGTTATTGCCAATGAACCTTTCCTGATACCCATCCATGAGAGGTACTTGTTTCCTCAGCTGCGTTTCGTCCTCAATAGTGTCCCCGTTGCAGATCATATATTCGCGGTCCGTTAATGTACGTACTAGCATTCTCTTGCGGCTGAATGGGATATGGCGGAATATTCACGCTTATGGGTGCACCAACCACTTTCTTGCAAAATAAACAGTGATAATTCGTACACTGACCGGTCCATCATGGTTACCAATTCATAATTACCTTTATTGATTCATTGCTTCTTCCCCTTAGTTTCGCATCAAATATAGTTTTACGGGAAGATGACCATCGACCACTTCCCAACCTGCGAAGATGATGGAGTAAGATACTGGCACGGCGCCCACGCCTGACAGAGGAACGACTCTGGTCCTCAGCCAAGCCTTCGATTACATGTACACCCG